TGCTTCCTGGGAAAATGTTCTCAAAGTTAATCACCACAATCACCTTAGAAACTCAGGTGCTATGTTGTCTGAGTGGTTGGATGGCTTTTTGAATCAAGGTCTAGCTGTGTAACCCTGGCTGGCCTGGGACGTGCTATTGTAGACCTCAGGGCGCTGGGATTGCAGGTGTGAAGCTCAATCCCCAGTTATTTTATCATTATTTTAAAAATATAAATACATTTTATTGTATTATAAGTCCTATCAATAAATCACATGACTCTTACCTCTAAGTTAGATTGATATGTTTATTTATTTACTCATTTTTTAAAAGTTAGCATCCAAAGCAATGGGTTTTATTATGACGTTTTGTAGATAAATATCATCATACCTTGCTCTTATTTGCCACCTCCTGCTGTAGACGTAATAATCTATTCTATATGGGAGTATTTTATAAGGAAGTTAAATGCCTTGACCCTATAGGTTTCTAGTGCATGGTAGTACTTGATCTGAATTTTCTAGATTTGAACTTATGGTTCCATCTTCTATTACATTTAAAGAGAAAAATTACCCATTTTCATCTAACCACCAACCCATTTACCCATCTCTCCCTTTATTCATGAGTCACCTATTCATCTATCCACTCACCTACATAGCTATCCATTTATTCATTCACCTTCCATCCACCCACAAACTCATTCACCAATCCATCTATCCATCCATTTTTTTCTACCAATCTGTCCATCCACTCATTCACTTTTATATTTATTCATCTACAATCTGCCTATTTCTTACCTATACACCTAACTCATCCATCTCATCCATCCATCTATCCATCATCCTCCACCAACTCATCACCCATCCATCTATCCATCATCCTTCCATCCACCTATGGACCACTTACCCCCAATGAACCCATCAATTCATTTATCCACCCACCATCTTTAGTCTCCAAATTATCTCTTCAGTGCCTTCTTTGTAGCAGGTTTTATGATAGCTAGGTTTAGGTAAAGTAATACAGTGATGAAAAATCTGTCATTTGCTTCCAGGATCCTGCATCTTATTTCTAGAGCAATCCACCAATGGCATAATAAGATACTGAATGAGTGTGATGTAAGAAATATATATAGGTAGAAGTATATTAAGCTTGTTCAGTTGGTTGGGGAAGCTATAATCCTTGTCCTTTGTAATAATTTGTTTTTGATGTGTCCTGCATGCAGTTTTCAAAATCCCCACTTAATTCAATGAGACACCTGCCTCGGTGTCATCCTTGTGAGTAGTGGCTAAACAGGAAGTCCTCTTCCATGTGAATTAGGCTAATTTGGTGAAAATGAAATGAATAGTTGTATAATGTGGGCTGATAGGAGGTCCAGCACGCACTAAGCTGTGCTCTCTGCATGAGCTGCTGAGTCATGAGCCTGGACTCCAGCAGGTTACATAAATCATCTACAGGTGAGAACTAAGTGGGGCTCACCCAGCTCACAGGAGCTGGACTGCCTCTTCTTATTAGGCTCTGGAGTGCATTTTTATAACTGCTGAGACATGTAGAGATCTCCTATTTTGGAGATCTCAGGTCCTAAGAGGTCTTTAGATGGATGTCAGTGACCTGAAACAATGAAATTGAATGTAGATAGACATGCAACACTCTGGGGGAAGAGCTATAACTTTAATCAGTTTCTCAACATGATCCTTGAGAAAAGTAATGTAAAAATAAAACAAGGTGGTGATGTGGTTTCTTGTTCTTCCCAGGCAACGTTTTGCTTCATTAAGTCTGGGATGAGAACCAGATCTCTGTTTTTTTGCTCTTTATAGATTTCCAGGTGATTTTAATGCTCACCCAGTCCTAGGAACCACTGAACTAGAACACCACTTCTCAACTTTAATGAGCAAATGAAGCCCCTGAGGATCTTGTTAGTGGGCAGATTTTGATTCATGTGGACCAGAATGGGATGGGATGGATGGAAGATTCTGTGCATCTAATCAGCTCCCAGGTGCTGTCACTGCTGGTGGTGATGGTGGCACACCATGCTTTGAGTAGAGAAGTTCTGGCTAAAAACATATGCTTGCCTGGGTCACTCACAGGACATTGGTTAGATTCAACCACACCCAATTCCCTTGCTTGAGATTGAGGCTAATTACTCAAGCCACTTCCCTTTGGGGTGGGGTTGTTGGGGGGGGTGCACAATTACAAGGAAGTTAAGAGATTTGCTAGGAAGTGTTGACTACTTCACAGTCCAAAATTCTATTTCCAGTGGCTGTATGGTTTCAAAAAATTGGATGTAGAAAACTTTGTAGATATACATGCTATACTTTGAAAAAAAAGAAAGAAAAAAGAAAAGCCTGAGGTTAGATAGACTTAGGCATAAAACTTGGTCCTCATACAGATCTTCCATCCATCTATCCACCTGTCAGCAGAATGATTGACTGGCATGCGAACTAATAGGGCTTGATTTTTTCATGTATAGCAAGAAGTCCTTTGTAAGGTTGAAATTCCTGACCCCTCCTCCCACCCCCCCAAAAAAAAATAAAGAGGAAGAATTCATCTTGGCTCCAAGTTTGAGAGCGTAGAATCAATCATGGTTTGGGAACCCTGGTGGCTTCCTCCTTTTCCTTTTTATTGTCTGAGACTGTATTCTTTGAGATAATGCCCACATGCAGGGTGGGTCTGCCCTCTTCAGTCAAACCTCTGTGGAAACACTCTCACAGACATGCCCAGAGATATGTCTCCTAAATCCAGCCGCATTGACAATGAAGGCTGACTGCTGTATCTCTAACATGTTGCTGGCAGGGAAGGAGGGACACACTTAGCATCAGGTCTGCATCTGAAGTAAAATAGCCTACCAACTGGAATCGCATGCCCAGCCAAGCTGAAAGAGAGAGAGAGAGAGAGAGAGAGAGAGAGAGAGAGAGAGAGAAGAATGAAAGGAAGGATGTACAAAAGAAAGAAAAGAGAGAGAGAAAGAAAGGAAGGAAGGAAGGAAGGAAGGAAAGAAGGAAGGAAGAAAGAAAGAAAAAAAGAAAGAAAGAAAGAAAGAAAGAAAGAAAGAAAGAAAGAAAGAAAGAAAGAAAGAAAGAAAGAAAGAAAGAGAGAAAGAAAGAAAAAGTGTTGAAAGGGGTGATGAGTGTTTCTGGCTTCTAAGAGCAGCAAGAGGAAAGAGATCTGAAAGATGAAGCTGGGCTCTCTTTCAGCAGTGCCTGCAACATCATGTGATCTAGGTTATTTATTGAATCGTTCTAAGGGTCAGTTTCCCCATTTGTAAAATGGGTAAATACTTCCTTCTAGCAGTGTTTGGCCAAGTGTGGAGAGCGGTTCCCATACCCCTCTGCAGGCATTCACCTGGAAGCTTGGCCCTTTGAACCAGAATCTCGGAAGGTGGAGCCCAGCAATCTGTCCTAACAGGCCTTCAAGGTGATGCTGATGGATGCTGAAGCTTGAGAACCACTACCCTAGAGATCTCGGGAAGGCTGGGGAAGGTAATTGCTTATGGTGCTGACTCTAAGTGCTTTCAAGTGTCAGCCTGGGGGTTTACATCTTTAACTAAAACAAGCTGTGGGGGGGTGTTTATCTGTTTGTCTGGTTGTGTGTGTGTTTTGTTTTGTTTTTAGAATGCTGAAAACATACTTCTTAGAATAAGAAGTTTAAAGAGTCCAAGACAGATTCTTCAAGGGTTCTTTAGCAGTAGCTGCTGCTCCCTGTTGAGCCAAAGACTGAGAATAGGCAATGGAGCTGAAGAAAGTTGGGGATACTTGACCGGATCCCTTGACTTTTCAGAAATTGTAGATTTATTGACTTACAATTCACACACCATACGATCATCCTTTGCAAACCCACACTTCCGTGGTTGTTAGCACATTCGAAGAGTTACACAACCATCACTGAGCTCAAGTTTCAGGACATTTTAACAGCCCCCAAGGAAGCCTTATACCCACTAGCAATCACTCATCCTTCTCTCCTCTTCCCAGCCTCTGGCAACCACTACTGCACTTGCTGTTTCTAAGGATTTCCTTTATTTATTTATTATTTAAAATTTTTTTACTGACTTGTTTACCAGGAGGAATTCCAAGATTAATATTGACATCATTGATCAAAATTCCTAGACCAAGGAAGTCTACCATGAGTTCATCCTGTGAAAACAAGAACAACAATGATGATATTGTTTATTGTTGTGAACAAATGTGGTTGTGTTCTCCTGGGCATCAGAGCACTTGCGTACATGATTACACATCTCATCTGTAAGGTAGACATTCCTACATGGTCTATAAGGACCTCTGGTTCTGAGAGTCTAACTTGTAATTTATGCTTGTTGGAGCCAAACAGAAATTCTGCCCATTGCTCTAGAGGTGACAGAAATGGGAATAGATGATCAAGCTAGAAGGGACCCTGAAGTCTTGGGCTCAGAAGAAGCTAGAATTGCATCTAGAGCAGTAGTTCTCAACCTGGGGGCCATGACCTCCTGGGGATGTTGACCATCCCTTTCACAGGGTCACCTAAGACCACCAGAAAATACAGATATTTACATTATGATTCATAACAGTGGCAAAATTACAATTAAGTAGCAACAAAAATAATTTTATGGTTGGAGTCACTACAACATGAGGAACTATATTAAAGATTCAGGAAGGATTAGGAAGGTAGAGAACCACTCCTCTAGAGGAAGGAAGGGAGTGGGAGGCTAGAACCTGGAAAATTTCTACCCTAGGAAGAGAAAGCAGATGGATTCCATGGGTCTTCAGGGCACATGCATGCCTAATGGTAGAAGTTGTGGGTCAATGTAAGGGAAACCCTCCTTCATCAGAAGTGAGATAAGGTGTGGGTGGGTTATTTTGGCAGGGCGTGATCACCCTGTTCCTGGAGTTATGCATTTGGGCTGCTGTGGTAGTTTGGATGTAATTGGCCCCCATCATCTCATAGGGAGTGGCACTGTTAGGAGGTGTGGCTTTGCTGGAGTGGGTATGGCCTTGTTAGAGGAAGTGTGTCCCTGTGGGGCTGGGCTTTGAGGTTTCTTATACTCGGAATACCACTCAGTGTCTCAGTTGACTTCCTGTTGTCTGCAAGATGTAGGACTCTCAGCTATTTCTCCAGGACCATGTCTACTCCCTATCATGCCACCAAGCTCCCTATCATGATGATAACGGACTGAACCTCTGAAATATTTTCTTTATAAGAGTTGCCATGGTCATGGTGTATCTTCCTGGCAATAAAAACCCTAAGACAGCTGGTGTTTCAAGTCAGTGGGGGATGAGCTACAGGCCCGTCATATCTCTGGCATAATATAATGTTGCAGATCCATGAAGTTCTGGCCTCAACATGCAATAAGCACACATAGAAAATGTTTAACCCCTTACCTCCCAGGACAACAGTCTGTGGCAAATAGAGAAGACTGAACCTGTGACTGGTATCTACCCCTTTCTAACTTAACATTTTGATTTGCCAATAGGGCTCTTCTCCAGAGATGTGGGGATAGGCAAGAAACGGCTGAGTACTGGCCAAAGGCAGGAGATGAAGACTAGGTAAAAGATGCTTGCCTGAGAGGACTCACCAGTGTGTGAAACATCTATGTTTTGCTCCGAGAAGCCTGACTTTCACCCTCTAAGGTAGGCATTGATTCCAAGTGATGGCTAATATTGTTGTCAGCTTGTCACCTGCATGTCTGGGAGAGATTCCTAGACTGAGTTAGTTGAGGTAGGAAGACCCACTCTAACTGTGGGCAGCATCATTCCATGGGCCAGGGACCCTGACTCTACAGAGAGGAGAAGGTGAGCTAAGCATCAGTGTTCGCCACGCTCTGCCTCCCGACTACAGACACAGTGTGAACACCTGCCTAATACTCCTGCTCCCACACGTTCCCCTCGGTGATGGACAGCATCCTCAAACTGTGAGCCAATGAGCCCTTCTTCCTTTAAGTGTTCTTTGTCAGGTTCACAGCAGCTAGAGAAGTAACTAACACCCTGAGTCAGGTGTGCTTAAGGAATCTCCCCACTGGAGGTCATGGGGAGGTGGATTTCCCCTTGACCTTGATGCTGCTTTCCTTTCGGACTATGTGAACTCCAGCAGGCCTCAGGAGCACGAGGGGACCTAGCTCACCTGATCTGTCCAAAAGGAACACCACAAGCAAGGTTTTAAAGCTTGTTGTCCAGTTACCACAAGGTGAGTACCCCTAGAAGTTTCCATTTGACCCTGATCTAGCTCCCTTAATCACATGCAGTTCCAAGATGAGGCTCTGCTGTGTAAGGGACTGATAGATATCCTTTGGAGCTTTAGAGAGCATGTGCTTACTCCAGCCTTTATACATGGGTCGAAGGGTCGGAAAGATCGCTCATTTGGGAAAATGCTTGATTTATAAGCACAAGGACCTGAGTTTGAACCCTAGAATTCATGTAAAAAAGCCACCTTTGGTGCTACACACTGTAATCCCGGTGCTGGGGAGACAGATAGGTAAATGTATGGGGCTCGCTGGTCATCTAGCCAGATTGGTGAGTTGCAGGCCAATGAGAGACCTTGTCTTGAAAAAATAAGGTGGGGAGTACCTGAGGAATGGCACCCAAAGTTGTCATCTGGCCTCCACATTCACTCCCACACATGAACATGTGAACACACACACACACACACACACACACACACACACACACACACACACACACACACACACACACTTATTTTCAGATGGCTGGTGGAAGACAATGAGTGTAGGCTTGGTATCAGGTGGGTCAGAATCGGAACACTGACTAACCCCATCTAGCTGGGTGGTACATCAACTCTAATCTTCCTTTCAGAAAGCTTGGATGCTAACACTGGATTTTTGAGGTTAAAGCTACAGAAGGTAGAGACAGCCCAGGGGTTTGGGGGACAGTGGGTTACATCCACTCTTTGTTTTAGGTTCTTATTCCTCACAGCACCACTAACAGGGTTTCTTGAACAAGCATGTCCTGCCAGGGGCACAAGGGTGTGAGCGGAGTTTATGAAGGTCTCCTGGCTATCGTCCACCTGGTGGTGTCGTCTGCAGACAAATGTTTGGACTGAACTTCACCCTCACACAATGAGGAAACATGTTTTAAAGGCCTCACTTGTCAAAAGAACGTTATAAAACAGACTTAACAAGGCTCCCAGACACAGTTGGCTCCGGGATTGGCTGCAGTGGGTGAGTAAGGCTGGAATTCGGGCCTTGATCGCCCATGCCCTTCCTGCTGCCTGTGTTCCACACCTGGTCTGGCCTGGTCGGGGCTGAGTGCTCTGCCTAGCTGGTAACGTGCGGACAGCCCGGTCACCTGAGATTATTGGCTGCTAAACGCACTGTGTGTAAAAGCAGGCTACTGCACCCCCTGAATGGAAGTGCAGGCCGCCCTTCAGTTTGGAACTCGATGGGCCTCTCTCGATGGAGACAGAATTACTGGATCCATGTGGACCACCCTGTACTGGCTGAATAGGGAGCCCAGGCCCAGAATGAGTGGGGCATGTTGCACATGTTTCCTCACAGCTTTAAAGGGATAAAAAACGGGCTGGAGATGTAGTATAGTTGGTTAATGACTTGTCTAGTGGGCACAAGGTCAATTCCTAGTGAGTTCAATTCCTAGCACTCGTAAACTGGGCGCAGTGGCACATGTCTGTAATCTCACACTTGGGAGGCAGAGGCAAGATGATCAGTAGTTCAAGATCATTTTAAGCTATATAGTTAGTTTGAGGCCAGCCTGGGGTACGTGAGACCTCCATCTCAAAATAAAAAAAAAAAGATAAAACCAAGAAAATATGGAAAAATAAGTAGACAAGGCCTTTCAGGGATAGTTAGGGCAGAGTCCCAGGGTGTTAGCTGAATGAGAGCATCCATCTCTCCTCGTCCTTATTTTTCTCTTTCTTTACCCCCATACAGAACACTTATCCTCCCAGCACCAAATGAATATGGTAGCAATTCCCATGTTACAGAAACATACAGCATGCAGCATTAGTTGGAAGTAACACCACTGTGCAGAGAGCCGATCAGCGTTTCTTCTCAGAGCCAGCACTGGTAGCCAAACTCAAGGCCTCTGACTTCTCAGGCAAGTGCCCTTTCTCTGGACTTCTCTCCTGGCCTGATGCTGTGTTAACGATAACCATACTGGGCTCAGGAGAAGAGTGGCCTCGTAATCAGGACCCACCCTTGATGACTACGCAGGAAATCATGGGTCGTTGTCAACTATTGCTGACCACTGCCTGCCTGTGGCTAGCTTTACAACATTCAAGTCCATCTGTGAGCCCTGTGACCCTGCCTCTGATAGGACTGAAGTATCTAGATGAATTTGGGATGGGGATGCTGGACTCCTTGGGGACTGCTGGGACAAAGATACATATTTGCCTGCTATGTAGGCAGACAAAGGACCAGTTCCCAGTCTGGTCCTCTCCCATCCATTGGCTGTTCTTTCATGCCAGCTACACAGTAAATCTCAATAAGTGTTTACTAAGTGAGTGAATCCTTCTCCTGCTTTGTCCTCATTTGAATACAGGATCCTGTTTCTTCAGGATGGGTCTCTTCTTTTCTCAGGCCTATTGTCTAGGACATAGTGTCCACTGGAGGCAGCATCCCATCAGCCACGCACTGGACAAGCAAACATGGATTTCTTTTGAGGGTACTGGTATTCAATCACCCAGCTAGACTTAGTCCATAGACATACTTGGGCCTGCCCTTGGAAACCTTTTCATCCTCTTGCGTGGATCAAGCTGTTTCTGCTTCTGACTTTCCAGCCACCTAACTGTGAGTGAACCCTGAGAGCATCCTGTAGGACATGTGACCTCACTGAAGGAGAAACAGAACTGAAGGAAGAGGGGCTGGTGGTATGGGAGGCAGTGCCAGAGTGACATGTCTTGAGGTAGTAGGAAACTGAGAAGAAGGCAAACCGCACAGGCTGAAATCTGGCCACTAAGTATTGGATCCATTTCAGCAACATTTGAAAATCACACCATCCAAATTCTTAACCAATGTTATTTATATTAGCTGGAGAAGTTCTCCTCCTCATCCTCACCCCATCTTCTAGCCAGAAGCAATCTGCTCTGGGATTAGTGGGTGATGTAGTGTCAAGGGTTCAGGTTTCTAGGGCTGTGCTGCTATGCGCAAGGTCATCCCATGCTCCAAGATGCTTGCTTGAGGTCCAGCCATGGTATCTGCACCCCAGAAAGCAGGAATCCCTTTCACACTTCTCCCGAACACACTTGAAACACCTTTCCTAGATGTTCTAATTACCTTTCCTAGCTGTATCTCATTGGTTAGAACCTCACACGACTGGACATGGCAGCAAGCAAGGCAGTAATCTACCCTGGGTTGTGATATTCTCAATTAATATAGGGGTTCCCGAGAGAAGCAAAGTCCCAGACTGGAGGGCAGTTTGAATCAACACCATAGATGTGAACTCTTTCCCCAGGGCCAAAAGACTAGCTTTTATTGCTATTTTAATTTTGCCTTTGTCTTCCTTCCTTCCTTCCTTCCTTCCTTCCTTCCTTCCTTCCTTCCTTCCTTCCTTCCTTCCTTCCT